GGGGGGGGGGGGGGGGGGGGGGGGTTAAATAGCGCGGGTCGACTGAATTCTCCGTGAATATTCTAATGAAGAGATCCTAGAAGTCTAGTAGTATGTATCGTAACGCGGCCCGGTGAAAATGTCGTCGCGCACGGGCAAACAGATTCCCTGGAATCGCGGGCCTCGTGGAATCGAGTGTGGGCTGGTTTAACCGTTCGTAATAGATTGAAACTGAAATCTCCGATGATCCGTCTCGGATTTACTCGTTGAAGGGTTAGTAATGCGCAGGGGCTTCGGTTTCGTATTATATTGTTAATTGTACTTGGAAAATCACAAATGACTCATCTGTATAAAATTTTATATCAAAACGATGAAAACTGTACTGAAAATGAATATAATATATATAATAATATATAATATATAGTATATAATATATATAATAATATATAGTATATAATATATATAATAATGTATAATAATATATTAATAATATATAATATATATAAGAAATGCCAAACAAGTCATTTTGACGCCCCTTGGTAGATCTAGTGTCAATCCCTTGCCGTACCATTTTCTTCATAGTTATAATAATAATTAGAAGTTTTTCGATTCTAATAATTTCTAAGAGGAAAAAAGATCATTTATAATCATAGTGTGTCTACGTTTACTCAAATATTTAAATACCGATGACAAGAAATCACAATTTCATTCAGACTAAAAACAATGGAATATCATTTTCATACTTAACAGATTATTACTAAAAATCTCCATCACGTGTCGGACTCGTGTCAAAGTTAAATTGGTTAAATCGGTTAAATGGCAAGGGGTTAAGAAAGAGTAAATTAAATATAAAAGAAACTACGCGTTAGGTTATGTTGCGTTAAGAAGTAGACATAATAAGAAGAAGAATTGTGCAACCCTCGGGAAACCTAATTAAATAAACGTGCTATGTACAAAAGCGACTAAAGTCTACTAGACACGAAATGGTAACAAATATGAACAATAATGTACAAAATAAATATAGAATTTATATAATATATATATATGTAAAATAAATATATATTTTATATATATTATATATACTCTTATAGTCTAATATATACTGTATATATTATATATAGTCATATTTATTTTATATATATTATATTTTATATTATATTATAT